TACCTAGACGGAAGGATGTAGGTCCTGTATACGATCAGCGTGGTGGGTCAGAGTGCCTACGTGACCGAGTGAGAGTGCAGAGTTGTCGAGCGACTGGAGTACGTGTGTCCCCCGTGGGCGCGTTGCACAACAACAGAGTAGCTCGCTTTTGTGCTCTCTACAACGAGAAGACGAATAGGACGGGTTTGACCGCAGGAGGCTAGGTCCTCGACGACAACAGATGGTACGCAAGTACCAGTGTCTTGAAGTGGATTCTAGCAGTTACTGGAAGCCAGTGAAGGGAGCGGAGGAGCGGCGTGGTGTGGGAGAATTTAGGAAGGTTGAAGACCAAACGAGCCGCTGCATTCTGGATGAGCTGCAGAGGTCGGATGGCACATGCAGGTAGACCAGCCAGGAGGGAGGAGTTGCGGTAGTCTAGGCGTGAGATGACGAAAGCCTGGACCAGAACCTGCGTCGCTTTCTGGGTCAGTTGGGGACGTATCCTCCTGATGTTGTAAAGCGTGTATCTGCAGCAGCGGGTTGTAGCAGCGATGTTTGCATTGAAGGACAGTTTGTTATCTAGGATCACACCCAGATTCCTTGCAGTCTGAGTCGGGGAAACAACAAAATGTTCTGTTTCATAAGGGTGTTGAGAGATGTATCCATGGATTTAGTCCCTCATTTTGCTCTCAAGGTGCACCAGATTGATGCATTTAACTTCAACATTTAAAAAAAAAATCTTACTGGGGGAGCATGCCCCCGGACCCCCCGAGAGGAGTTTAGGCCCACCACCTGCCCACACCCCCCGTCGAATTGTCCCACCCACATTGAGGATGCTTCCTACGCCCATGCCTGAGACACAGTTCAATGAATGAATATTGTTGTTTGTTGCCCCCTGGGGGTTTTAAAGTATCCCATGTGTTAGTGATTTTTTATATATTTTCCTTTAGAATGGCAGGAAATTAGTATTCAAATTTTGATTAAATTTTTGGTCCCCCCCCATGTTGACTCCATGGTTACGGCCTTGGCTTGCAGCATGATAATGCATTTTCTAGTTGACTGGTTTTGCCCATTTAGTTCAACATTGCATTTTTAAATAACTTGAACAGCTTGCATGTCACACATTTTAATTAAAATTCTCCTTTTCCCCCCAAACAATATGTATTTTTCTCCGTCGTGCATTTGAGAGGTTGTTCTGCACACATGCAGGTTAGCATCACGGCTGACAGCTAGCAGCCAGCTAAGCTAACTGTGCGCCAGGAGCAGACAACTAGTCAATGCAGATCACCTGTTAACAGTTAACATGTCATGCACATTACATTATTGATTCTGACCAAAGTTCTGAGAACAACCTGAGCACTTTGCACTACTTTCTGGCACTAAAGATGTAAACATAAACGTGCACAGGTGACACATGTCGGATTCACTTACCGTATCAATGCTCTTTAAAAATTATGTCCGACGTGAAGTATTAACTAATGTTCGTCTAAAATAACGATGTATCAGAGTGAGATTAACAAGCATTATATTGTTTAGTTGTTTTTTTCTTTTTTTGGGGAAGTCTATACGGGTCAGCGTGGTCATCAACGTGCATTGTCGTGTGTCGCTCATGGTGTCGCTCCGCCACCAGGGGGCGGAAGTGTCAGAGAGTACAGAGACACAACATTAAACACAAGATGATTCACTTCTAGTCCTTCCATTTTCGCATAAAAGCGTTAGCATTTTGCATGTGATCAGTGACAATATTATTTTAACGGCAGGGGCTGTACTTCAGTAAAATGACTCAAGTATTGCAGGTTCAGTTTCAAGGAACTGTACTTTTTTGTGTTCTTCTGTTTTATATTTTTCTAGAGTAATCATTGTTGCTTTATTCTTCTCCTACACTACAATTTAAAGGCTAATGTTTTTGTAATGCTCCACAATATGTGTTAACCTTCAGTTACTTTACATTTTTAATCCAAAATATAAATCGGCTAATAAATGATGATAACATTTTACGATATAAGTCAAGCTACACAGCAGTACAAAAGTAATTAAATTAAAGTTTACCAAGGGCAACATCTTCAATCAAATGGTGGTCTACTTTTCACTTAATAGCTGAATATATAATGTTCTGTAAAATAGAGCGAAACATTTGAAAGGAAATGTTATTATAAAATAGTTAACTCTGTAAGGACTTTTAGTTTTGATTAGGTGTGGGGTAAAACACTATAAATGATAGCAACTGATAGACTGAAAAACCATTAAACATTATCCTGTGTTAAATGTTACCACCCAGCTATTATTTGGGAACAACAATTTTAATGACCACCCTAATTGGACACCCTGTCCCTGTGTATGACAAATACACAAATTAACAAGGTGTTATTTTTATCCAGCTATATGTCGGCCTGTCAACCCCCTCCTCCCCGTTGGGGCATTAGTGTAAACCAGAGACTGTGGTGTAAACATATATGATGAAACAGTGTCAAAGGCATCTTAACAAGTTTTACAATATGTACATTAGTTTATCAAACAGCTTAGTTTGCAGGAAACACAATCCTCAGTCCTTGCATATATATATATATATATAAAATTATTGGTCGTGCTTTTTACAGTACTACGGCTTCCACAGATGAATGTTTTGTATGGATTTTTTGTCAAAGCGCTTATGATATTAATTGCTATCGGGATGTTAAGAGCATTCAATGGAATATAACAAAAAGTTTATCTTGAGCCGTTTTTTTTAAGATTAAACGATTAACAGCTTGGTCTAGAAAATATATCAGAAAACAGTGAAAAATAAGTAATAATGCTTTGTTTTTTTATTCCAAAATCTATAAATATGCAGTTTAATATGACATTTAACAAAAAAGCAGGAAATGTCCAAATTTTAGACTAAAAACACAATTTCAGCGTGAAAAATTACTTTAAACGACTCATTGATTATCAAAAACAGTTGGCAATTATATATACTTTTGCCGTGCAGTTTTAGTCACATCCAGTTAGTATCTTTGAACATCTTTACTGTACGTATTTCCCTCCAAGCCAAGGTGGCGCGATAGTGACATTAGTCTGTATCTTTGAAAGATTCACATGTGTCCACCACAGACTGCTTAAACCTCATTAACTTTCCTCAAGCAGCAACACCCACGGTCACTGACAGAAAAACAGGCCAAACATGATGCACCTGGTGCTTTACTGGACCGATCAGGCAGCTGCATTTTCTAATTAAAAAATACTTCACAAAGGAATTACAGAGACAGATAAAGGGTCATTATATTATCATTGCCCAACATCACAAGGAGAAAGGACCAACTCTAGTAGTTCTGGGGTAAATAGGGCAAGTAGGTTAACATTAAAAAAAACTACAAAGTACAACCAATACAAAAAAATAGTCTCAAACACTGCCTTCCAGTAGATACATTTGACTTGGATTTAATTTGCCTTTGATCCACCTTCATTTTATTTTCATTTGTATATTCCTAACCTTTTTTTAATACATTATTTCGTTTTTGTATATACCAAAGCTTTGTTCTGAAACTCTATCTTATTTTGCTACGTGTGTAAATCACTTTATAATGTAGATTTCTAAAAGTTGTCCACAAATAGATTGTTTATAATTGTTCATAAACATAGTCAAAGTTTCAGTCTGTGTGCTTCATTAGCACTGAGACCTGCAATCCCAGGAGAGTCTTTGGTGCTTACATCCACGAAGAAATAAAAAATGTCTTCCAGTTTTTGAGTTCACATTGTCTCGTTGTCTCTGTGACTTTCAAAGAGGACTTGCTCGAAGGACGAGGAAGGGACCGGACTGAAAAACTTGGTTGGTTTTGGAGGGTTCTGTTGGTATGGAGCGGGCCGGGGCCATCGCTCGTTGAACTTCACAAAGAACAGAGGGTCCTTGAAGGGCCCGCCAAAGATGATGGCCTGCATCAGGTAGACGAGGACCACGACCATGAAGCTGATGAGGAAGAAGGGGATGAAGGGCCTGAGGTGGTCCCAGGCCACCATGACCCCGTAGCCCAGGCCCCCCAGCTGGGTCTGCTTCCCCGTGTGAGAGGTGTGGCGAGAGGAGTCCGGGGCCATGGTACGATCGTGGGACTCGCCATCCGAGTTTGAAGAGGACGGACTGGGGACATCGAGGGACCCCATGAGTTACAAGTCAATACTGAGCAGTTCCTTTGCTCTTACACTGAGATCTTTGAAATTGCTGTCCTGCACACATCAGGTGTTAGGCCTCACACAATCTCCAGTGGAGAGGTTTCCCGAAAGCAGACTCTGGTTCCTCCGATGAATCTGGTGCTACATTCCTCCCGACAAAATAATTCCTCTGTAAACATGAGATAAAATCCGACTGGTCTTTTCCACCCCACAGTTTTACTCGAAAGATCTGGTGAGCTGGAGTTGAATGTTGCTGCTTCTTAGCTCGCCTGAGAGAGAAATCGAGAGTAAATGCAGAACAGCGGGGGAGCCCTAAATAGATATGACACCTAATGACAGAGCGAGGGAGAGAGAGAGGGACGGAGGGATTGGGGGGGGGGTTTGCTGGGTTTGGTCGTCTGAAATTTAAGGAAGGTGCGTGCATGAGTGTGTGTTACTTACCGACATTACACACATTCAATGACTAACACTGACATTTGCACACACAGCTGTGGTTAAGGAACTAAAGGACTGCAGTTTACTGCAGCTCTAATAATACTACACTGTGGCAGATGCATCTATAGGACATTTCCTAAAGACTTTACACATCTTATTAGGGCCAGAGTGCCGGTTTAGATTTACTGGGTTCATGAGTCCTGGCAATGTACCTTTGCCTCTATACTATTTTTATTATTTTTTATTTAGCCTATATAGAAATATATTTCCGAACATCAATGGGGAAAACCTTCTTAGCAATGCAAGAAATAACACAATTTTCGAGGTACACTGTATAGGCCGAGTGTGAAACCTAAAGGATATGTTGAAATGTTTGTCTTAAAGCAATACTCACATGCCCTCTAAATTTCAGGAGGTATTTGTTATTGTTGCTAATATCCAAACTATATGAAGAAAATATATAAATGGTTGGGTTGTTTGATCTACTTGTTGCAGTTCAGCAATCCATTTTCTGTGAACACAAAAAATATTCTCATCTTTTTCATCCAGAATAGAAAAGAAAATCTGTCCATTGTATCAAGTGTTAAAAGTTGTCGAGTGAAGAAAGTAATGAATGCTTGGTCATATTTTTGAACTTCTCTTCTCATTATTTGAAAAAAGAGGGACAAAGGGAATACCCATGTTTATATTCCTCAAAGCTATTTGAAGGGCAACGACATTGATTGACCCAGCCCTGATTCTTTGTTCCCATTTTTGTAAAACCAAATCCTTCCTTTCAAAATTGATCAAAATTGCAGAGACAGAAACAAATCTTGAAATATATGTGAAGTCTCATTAGAAACCATATATGGAGTCATGGATTAATTACTTTCATAACTCAGAAAATAATGTGCATAATAATTGATCAAATTTAAGTTTGTCTTCTGGATCAGCTTCTCAAAGACCTTCAATGGTTATAATTGCAGAATATAAAAAAGCACCCGTTGGTAAAACCACGAGGAAATGGGGATGACCCACAGAATAATAGCTTCTTTCTGAGTCACACACTGACTAACATCAAACTTTCTCACTGACCTGCGACTACAGCCCTCGTGATCCAGCAGCTGCTTCTCAATCTTGGTGGGATGAATTTCACATGTGTTGCATAACTGGAATCAGCAAGACACTTTCACATCGTGGTACAACCCTCGCGTGTTTCTGCAACATGTCATAACCCTGGTAAACACGCACACAAACACACACTCTTCCCTGCCAGCATTTGAAACCAGAGACAACAGCAAAGCCGAGAACGTCGACACTTAAGTTCTTAAACTGTGCTGCGGTGTTGGAAAGTTAATTGGCTTTACGCAGACACATGATACAGTTAGATTAATGTGTTTGTGAGTTAAAAAAAAAAGTGATGACAGAAAAGACTTCACTACAGATAACATCTTCACAATTAGAGCAACATTGGTGTTAGAGGATGAATATCTCTTAGTGTCATGTTTGTGCGTTTGCCTTAACAAGAGTGAGGGGATATGATTACCTTCCTCTTTTATTAGACACGTTTATCACAGCACTCCTTCCTCACCACACAGCCACATAAATCACACGGTGCAAAATCTTGTCTAAGAAAAGATCTTTATTTATAAAAACAGTATTACCAGTTACATACTTTACTGAAAAAAGCAACTTCTCAGAGCCAAGGCCGGTATGAATGGTACATCATTTTACATGGATAGGCAAAATTACAAATATACTGTGTGTGGAGAGTAAAAAACGAAACAAAACAAAGATGTTTGGTCTCTTTTGCCTCAAAAAGAACTCCGGGGGAAACTGGGACTAAAACACATTGCATAATTCTCTCACCCACCACTCCCATACATACAAACCCGAAATAAAAAACAAAAAAACCTGACATAAAAGTGGAAAAAATACAACAAAAAAAAGAAGGTAAAAA